AAAGACACTGTCAATTAGTGAAATAGCACTAAACTGTGCTATGGATTTACAGAACAAATCAAATGCCAAGGCATTAGGTAATTTGCAAAGTAAGTTTATGTATGAAACCATGAGGTTAGAGAGGGAAAAATAGCATAAAGGAAAATGCTCATGTATTTTGCCTAGGTTTGATGAGTAAGTACTTGACCCTGTCTGTAATAAAAAATAATTTGTTTAATATGCTACAGATGTGACTTGTTAATAGTGATTAAAAATAAGTTAAGTCATGTGTCCTTCCAGCAGCATAAGTGAAGCCTCAGTGGCAATTAAAAGAAATTATTATGTTAGCTTCCTACTAACCCACAGCTCCACCTCATGATGCAGCAAGAATGCAGAAGAATCACCTGTACCTGAGAAGTGAAAGGTTTGATACAAATAACACCCAGCCTAAAAATCTGCCAGTTGAGAGAAATTAATTTTGAAGAAAGAGCCACAGTCCCCACAGCCCAAAACTTCCAAGTTACTGTTGGATGCTTCTGGCTCACACCTGAAGTCTCATTTCGGTAACACCAGGCTACAAAGCATTTCCACATACATGATAACCTTTGGAGTAAATGAGAAATTTTAGAGAAAGACAATTTCAGACCAAAACCTGTTAAGTCAATACAAATCAAATTACTAACATCGATGGAAAATCTAAGAAAACCTCACCCACAGCAGTCTAGGCAGTCCTTTGAATTATAAACAGTTTATACCGCAAGCCTTCGTGAAGGTTAATCTATAATCTTACCATTTTTAGACTAAATAAATTCACTTCTTTGACAGCGTTATATTTATTTATTCACAAACAGAAACACCGCTCACTATGTATAACTAACACACAAATAAACGCCACCACCATCCTTATGAAACAGAAACGGCTCAACTTTGCCAGAAAAAGTTAAGCCTCTGAAAAATTTCCCAGAGGTTTTAGGGTGCCCTTGAATGCTTCCCCGGCCTCGCCGCCACTGCAACGCGGCCTGAGGCGGCCGAGATGGCGAGGGCCGGGAAGGCGCCGAGCGAGGGCCACGGCGTCGTGCCAGAAGAAAGATTAAATACAGGGCAGGTTCTCAGTGCTATTGTTCAGGTTCTGCTAAAGCCGCTGTGAAGCCGTATTTACCTGCAGAAGCCGTAGTCAATGGCAGGGAACTGTCCTGCTTACAGCTCTCAGGCTTGGCGCAGCCCTGAAAACTACCACCAGAACCAGCCATGCATTTTCAGTGCAGTTTTCAAAGCCGAGAAAAGTGAAGCTATTCCTGTTACAACCATCTTGCCCGTCACGTTATGGTCCAGCCCCTGCTCTAGAACTAGCATCTTGCTCAAGTCCCCACCTCAAGAGATAATTTCTTCACAGATCTTTGCTTTTTAACCAGATCTGCACATTTCTCTTACCAAATGTCAACCCTATATACTCCTTTATTCAACAGATTGGTACATTTAGCTCTTACCTACCTGGGAAATTTTTCTGCCTTACCCCTCACCTGGCTCTGCTGGGTGTTAAGGGTACTGAAATTACAGTGTGATGAAGATGGTTGTTAATACACATGGAAGCGGCTATTAAATTCTCATCTGTAATGTAAGGGGTCTGCAGCTGGTGCACAGAGCCATGCTAGGAACAGTGTTCCTGGTGAAAAAAACAATAGATAAGCATTCATAGCAGCATCTTTGGAGTTGCCCCCCAAAATCTAAGTGTGTATGTTTCAGGGTATACAGAGGTGTGATGTGCATAAAATACAAGTACGAAGGGACACGCAGTAGATCCAGGAGAGCATCACCCTGGTTGGCCAAGCCAGCACCCCTGTTTAGTTGTTCAGGACCCCCTCCAGAAAGCTCCAAGATTGAATCCCCCCACAGGTGTCAGGGTGTTTAGTCTCCTGCAAGAGCCAGGGCTTGCAATTCCAGGCTTCAAGACCACTCTGCCCACTTCCTCACGACAAACAGGTGTCTCCTCTGACCCAGACCCACGAAGCTCTGTACCAGCCTCTCACCCCTTCCACAGATCTCCCCACACCCAAGCAGCTCCAGCCAAATGAGCCATGCCTCTTGCTCCTCCTGGTCTTTCCCTGGCTTGCCTGTGTGTTCAGGCACATGAGGTGGGCCCCCTTCAGCCTATGGCATCCTTCACAAGGGCTGCCTCGCTCCCATCAGCCTGTCTGGGTACTTAGCACCATTGACCTCTCTTCTCTTACCTAATCACAAGCTGTTATCACCATTCCTCAACAAACTGAATTTAAAGCCCATAGAAAGGACTCCCTGCACTCTATCACCCACCACTTCTCAGTGTGAACACCTGTTTCAGGCCCATCCAGTTCTGAACCTTCCCTTAATGCAACTTGTTCCTTTATTACAGCACCATAGCAATTTTGTAAATCCATACCCAAGGGTGGAGAAGCAGCCTTTCTTCTGATGCCAGAAGCCACAGAATTCCAGCTTCACCCATTTTGGGAATCTCCAGCCACCATCTGCCCAAGCAGGACCTCCAGCTGCCCCTTCTTAATCCCACACTGCGTGGTTTGGTCTTTTGCCTCTACAAGGTGAAGGCCCTTATGACCTCTTGCTCCTCATACTCCCTGATGCTGTAAGTCTGCTCACTTCTCCTGTAGCTCTTTCATGGGGCAACTCAGCGCCTTGCCCATACCAGAGCTCGTGCAGGCAAGGCCAGCCCTGCCCTGGCTCTGGGAAAAGGCAACAGGTACTCCCTGCGGCCCAAGACCTGGCAGCACCCTTCTCCAGGAGCTTCCACCTGTACATGAGGGCTGCCTCCCCCAGTGGCTCTGGGGACCAAGCCCTGCAGTGCATCCCCATCACCACTGGGCAGTCTGTGCTGCATGGAGTGGAGTTTTGGGGCCCTTTTCACACCCCTGCTGCACTCACCACCAAAGTCTGTTGGCTGCATGCCTGCTGACCAGCCAAGAAGGGTGTTCCTACAGCAGGGGAGAGGAGCCTGACCCTCCCACAGCAGCAGTCAGCTGGCATTTCTGTGGGGCCTCCACCTTCACCTGTCTAGGATGGCCACACACTGAAGGCTCACAGTGACCTAGAGCTTTTATAGAAACATGGTATTAATTTTAAAAAGACTGCATGCCTTGGGAGCAGAACGCTAGGAAACAGCGCTGCTGGACCTCAAAAGTAGCAGCGTATTGTGGTGGAGGTGCTGCCCCAGTCTACCTAGGAGTACTAAAATTACTGAATTCTTGCTATTTCAAAACTACCGATTTGCACTTCAAAGAACTGAGTCACAACTTATTAGAATAAACTTTTATTTACTGCTCTCATGAACCTTATTTTAGACTTTAAAGTATGCAACAAAACCTGCTACATTCAAATCTATACAGATTTACTGATATCTCATTCATGTTTTACAAAACTGCATATAGATTTGGGAAATTTGTATAAGTTACCTTTATTTACATGTAATACTCTCAGCCCTAATGACCTAGTCAAAGAATAAAACAAAGTGGGATTTTAAATCTCCCTTAAGACCCATTACATTTGTTACATAATTTACATATCTTTATAGAGAGATGTGCTACACTTCTTTCTTGCATATTTATAAAGACTGCGAGTAAACAGAAATTTGCTGGCCAAAGCTAGGTACTGTCATTTCCTCGGATCATATTGGTAATAAAATGTTAAAATTAGAGCAAGCCAGGTATGTAAACCAATTTTTTTTCTTTTAGAACCAACTTTGCTAATCATTTTAACCAGCACTTGCTCAAAAAAAGTTAACATTAATACAAAAAAACCCCACATTTACAAAAGAAATCAAACTATTATTTATATGACAAGTTGATCTACAATAAATTGCACATTGTTGGTTATGACTTTGGTTATACTGTATTAACAAATTTGGTTTCTAGACTAACAGTGGAAGAAAAAAATATAAAAATGCAGCTATAGAAACTAGCATAACCTGTAAACATATTACAGAACCAAATTCTGCACCTGGTTACATGTGCATAACCTCCATGCAGTTCAGAGAAGTTTGCACAGATCAGACTGCTGAATTTGGCCCAGAAAACCCTGTAAACATGTTCTTTATTGTTATGTAGTGCAATACTGCAAGAATGGATAATAAAGGCCTCTAACTACCAGTAACTAATACTGAGTGATATCCGTACAAATTTCACTTTAAGATTAATTTGCTGCAAAAGGCTAATTGAAAATATTATCCATTGTTGAACTACAAATTTATCAAAAAAGTGATGAACACTCAATAAACCAATGACAGTATACAAATTCAGACAAAAAATGGATATAATTTCTCATTACAATTCAGAATTATGCTGCTTGTCTGTTTTATATAAAAATCCTGGGTTTGTTACACTGTTTTAACAAAAGCAAGTCAGAAACAAAAATCTAACAAATAAAACGTGTCAGCAAGTCAATGTTTTTGCAAACTGATGGCAGATAATGCAAACAAATGCTTTCCAAAGTTTTACCTAATATGTTGAATTATAAGGTGCTTTGGGCAGATCTGTAGCAAACAGCCTGAAGCAGCACGGATTATGATATTGCATTACATTAAGCTTGTTGTGGGTTTTTTTTCCTTTTGGTTTTTTTTGGTTTTTTTTTTTTTTTTTAAAAACAGTTTAATAATTTCAGTTGTTCCTCTTAAAGCAGCAATTCAAATTTACACCCTCTGCAAAGATTTCTTCACAGTTTTACTTCAGTAGTTTACTGCAGGGCAGTCTGTCAAACACTGTAAAGTTTAAAAACATTTTAGTTTTTGACTAACTTGGCACTGGCCCATCCAATGTGTATATTGTAGTTATTAGCAAAGCACGCAAAACTGTGGAAATGGCAAAATACATTTTCAAAAGTTAGTGAATTTTTAATACTTACTTATTTTACAAGCAATACTATGAAGATTCAATAGCCATGTGACTAAATACAATGGTAGTCCCTGGAAAATTCAAATTTGTTTGTAAACCCTTAAAATTAAATTGCAGCACTGGACCAATATAATTTATGTCTGTGTCTTAATCAACCCCATCAAAACCCTGAGTATTTTCAATCGCTAGAAGAAGTTTATCCCACAAATCTTCAAATGAGTCATACGGAGGCAAATCCAAGCGATTAAAGCTGAAAAACAGATGAGAAGTCTTAAGTATTTTGTCACTCCTACTAATGGTCATAATCTACCTAAATGAAATACTCACCAGGTATGAGCTCTTGGCAGTTTTTCAGGGGTACCCCACTGTTCAACTGTAAACAACTGTGGTCCATTTGAACCTGCAGAAAAGAATACATCCATTTTCACCCCATTACAAGGTTCTTTTATAATTAGAAATTCAAAATAGAAATATTTTTGGGTTTTGTAATCCAGTTCTGGCATTAGTAGGAGCTATCTATACGAATCAAATACAGTCTACACTCAATAATGGTCAATAATCCCAATTCACTTGCATTTTAATTATTTCTTTCTGTATCTTAATATCAAGAGACTTTTACACCTTAAGCTCAGAAGTCTGAGACCTAAATACATGTGCATAGTAGTTGGTATTGAAAATTTTATGTGAAAGACAATTTTATACTGTATACATTTTGGATGTAAAAATTTAGACATGTTTATCACAATGTGCCAAGTTATATAAGCTGGTAGAAACTATTCAATGTCCACCTTTACCTACGCAACAGAGTGAAGTAACTGAGAACTTTTTGAAATATGGTGACCATGTGTACTCCAGGGATGTACATATGCACCTGAGAGAACTTTTTTGGCTAGCAAGTGCAGCTCCAGCTACACCTGTGCCTTCAGCAACCGTCTTACAGCATGTCGTATCTGAAAGTTTCTTGGACCTCTCGACTCTTGCCAAGTGGATGCAAAGGACATTTTGCACCCATTTCCTTAAGCTGTTGAAAGCATTTGTGTACATCTAGAGAAGACTGTGTAGTTAAAAAAAAAAAAAAAAAAAAATCACTATCTTGTCAGAGAACAGGAGATTATCTCTGATGGTGGGTGTCTTCTGACCATCAATACAGTTAAGAGAACTGTATTCCAAGGCAGATGGCTACCCAAGAATGAGTAGCCTTCTGCTTCTGAAATGGAAGATGTGAATCATGTTTCAGATTCAAGACGAGCAGCAGTAATGAGAGCGGGTTGATCTATGAATGCAGCTGAGGTTTAAGTGCTGTGTGGAGTATCTTTAGACCTATGAAATAAACTTGGTTTTACAATGCGGACAGACACCTTCCCTTTTTATGGCTTCTCCAAAACGTCTGTTTGGGTTTTTTTTTTTTGTTTGTTGGGGTTTTTTTACTATGTAAATTATAATTGTCAATTCAAAAATATTTCATTTGTGGGTTTATAGAGACATGAAAAAAAGAAATGCATACACTCTCATAATAAAATTGTATTATGATAGCATTTAGTAATATACAGTGTAGAAAGGGATTTGGAAGGTGTTAGCCAACAGAAAAAAAAAAAATCCCAAACAACAAAATACCCAAGACAATTAATCCCAAAGACGAAAATAAAACAAGAGGAGGAGAAAACCTTTTCACAACTACTAACATAGACAAAGAGATAGGAAATACCAATCAATGCACAGAAACTATACTTCATTCAAGTCTAGTGAGTGAACAAGACAGATGAGAGCAGACACTGAGCACTTCATCCTAAAATGTTATGAGATAGATATGTCGGTAGTTCTGGAAACGCTTCCAGGCCCTCTACTTTCTTCTTTAGGTTACATGTTTCTTCAACACAGAAGGCTGGTTAGAAAAAGTAACTACTAAGAATGCCTGGAATCAGGATAAAGCAGAGAAGCAGCTCTGTGACTGACGGTGCATTCTACTATGTGACAAGATGATAAAGCTCCATAGGTAAGAATCAGTCTTCATTTTAGCTATCCAGCTAATTAACTAGAGGCTGACACGGCAGGGTGGGGGGAAGACAAGAAAAACAAGCAAGCCACATCTGTTCAGTGTTCTAGTTCTCAAACTGGGGTGGATTTGTCCTGGGACACCGAGCACTCCATTTTTATGAGCAGAGATGGCTCTCTGGGCCACAAGAGGGAGATCTCCCACCAGAAAGCCAGCTCTGGGACTGCAGCCCGAAGATGGGAACGGAACAACCACAGGGGCAGCCCGGCAGCAGCAAAAAGCCATGTACCAACACGAAGCACTGAAGAACCACCTAGAGTTCTTCAAACGCAAGCAGGTACTGGAAATGTGATTGTGATCATTACTGGGGTTTAGTGAGGATGGCATGCTGGCCACAGTAAAGCAGAAACAACTAAGAGAAAGAAACAAAGCACTGTGCAAAACAACTGCTAGTTGAATTTTTCGTTAATGAGTGAATAGAACTACAGAAACTGGGACTTGGCCAGAAGACTGCCCAAGGATATCCTAATCCCTGGGCAGAAGGGAGCCAAGAACTTCAACAGTTTCTTTCCCTGTATCATTCCTTACTTCTATCTCTGGTAGTGTTTTTAGACAAATAAACAAAAATCTGGAGGCAGCAGAATTCTGATCTGGTTCCACTGCGATGACCATGTGTAACTCCAACAGTACCAAGGTTCAGGTGCAACAGCAAACACTTGGCTCAAGTCTGCTGAGGGCACTGTCCTTCCCACTGGAACTCACAACTCATTCACTGATGGAATGGAAAAAATAAACCAAGTATTTATAATGAAAATGGAGAGAGGGAGAAATGGGGACACATGGTGGGTGGTATTTGTCCACAATTTTATTGTTTTATAAACAAATTACTGTCTTGTTTACAAAGGGGGAAATGTTTATTCAAATACACAAGTTAAGCTATTCAGTCACTTGCATAGGATCTCAAGCACTTTTAGCCTTAATAAAGTAGTCTAGCAGAAAACATAATAGCTGATGGCAGCTGAAAGCAGACTTCCCATAAGTAAAACACCCCACCCTTTGTGGGCTGTTTTATCCGCTTGCCCGTGGTCTTTCCACAGTGGGTTCTTCTGGCTTTGGTATTAAAGTCTGCTCCCCACTGCCATCTGCTTGTTTCAGTCTCTGCATCATAGGTTCACTTCTTTTGGCATTATGTTTAACTTGTGTCATTTCAGCAGTCCTCTATAGAGTATATCCTTACAAACAACTGTATCTGTATAACTTACAAGAATCTGAAGTTAACTGCTGATGCCAGCATGCCTTTGTAATCAGATCTTAGATCTGAGAATTTTCTTCGAGCTCAATCACATGTTAAGCAGGGATTTTTGCAGCTCTTTAGAACTTTGAAATCCACATTAATTTGAGAAGTCCTATACATTTAAAAACTTCCAAAACCAGAATTAAAATTAAGTATTTATAGAACATGGGCAACATGATCTAAGTGAATCTTCTCTAACTTTGCTTCTTATAACTGCCAGTATATACTCATTTTTAAAGCAAAATTTGAAAAATAACAGACCTGTTTGAAGTCAAATATGATGATGTTGGTATCATGTTCTCTGCTACTTAATTGTGAACATAATCACAAGTACTCACCATACAGCTCAGCAAACCCATTCATAGGTACACGTGATGTGCCAGTAACAAATTGAAGTAATCTTATTCTCTTTTCAGAGTCCATCATCAAGACTGCCTATATATGATAATGATTACAATTAAAGATTTATTTTTAAATTAAGGTTTTAAGCTAGCAGATTTATGCAACACAGTTTCTATCCTAAATCATTATCCTTTATATGTATGCATTTTTTTTTTTAGTGACACATACAGTCTACTTCTCTGCCTATTGCTAAAAAGCTATGAAATCAACAATTTTTTAATGGCACTGTAACAAGAGTACGGTTACTGGCTTAGCAGGCTGTTAAAATACTTCCCTTGAAGATTTGGCCCCTACTTGCTTTGAAGTTTCCTGATGTTATGAACTAGCAGTCAAATTCCTGTAATTTATTAAACAGCGGATTTTAACACCTCTTTAGTGTAACCATGCCAGAAAAACCTACACAGAAATATTTTTAACCCCAGTCAGACAGGGATTTTTTTTGTAAAAGCAAGTATTAGTAGTGTATTTACATTCTTACCATGCATCTCATCTTTAGTTTTCTTACTATCTTTCTCAGGAGTTTTAATGGTCAAATATTTACCTACCTATTGATGGATCACACTATAAACTAGCACAGCTGAAAGGCAGCAGCTTTTGAACATGTTTTAAGGAAAAAAAATAGTAGAACTTCACGATACCTTCCAGAACCACTGTATTACTTGGTGGTTTATGTTATAGCCATTTTTGTATTTTGTATGTAGTTTCCAATCAGCCACATCCACATCTCCCAGTCCACACATTAATAACTACACAGATAAAAAAAAAAAAACAAAAAAAACACACCAAAGTTTTAAGTCAGTAACATTAAGTTTCAAAATAATTTTTCTTTTCCATGATACACTTACCTCTAGCTCATTTTCATCAAAAATTTTAATCAGATCCTGTGGTATTAGTTCAAAAAAGCCCTAAAAAGATGAGGGACGTTTTTAAAAATCAAGCCAACAATATTTAAGCATTTTTGTTCACCAAGAACAATATTTAGATTCTTTAGCAAACAGAAGCAAAGCAATACATCAAATACAAATGTTTGGACACCAGCAGTCCCCAGTTTGGTTATAGTATTTTTAATTCTGACTGAACTTACATCTTTATTGTGATACATTGAATGGTGAATATATTAAGCCCGAATATCATATATGTAATATCACTTATACAAATAAGGATAAACCAGCTAGTTTAATTTAATTCTATTAGTTTGATTTAATTCTCGTTTCTGCAGAATTCATTAAATAGTTTCCACTACAGCTAAAACTGTCAGCCAGCACCAAGAAATACAGAAATTTTTCAATGTGAATTAAACACCTCAGTAAAAATATACCAAAAAGAATTTTTAAGTCTGAAATAATGAAAAGCTGACACTACAAACAGTATCACTGCCTTTTATATACCTGTAACAACATTATCTGTGGGTCTTCAGGATGTCCAAAAAAGGTTTTCTTAAGATTAGATACAACAAATTCTTAGAAGAATTTATTTTGTAATTAAAACCGTACCTCTTTAAAGGCTGCCATTTGTTTCTGTACTCTGCTCACAAATCTCCACTGAATTACAAGACTGTAAAAAACCAAAAGAAAACCATTTAAAATAAACGCAATTTATATACAAAGCAACAACCTTCCTTTTCTTAGTTCAATTAACACACAGCCCCTATTACTATAGGGGCGATCCAGTGAGATGAGTTGCACATAGCGATCACTACTTACTGAATGTAGTCTCTCTTGTTCTTGTTGGTGACGACTATTTCTGATCCACCACTTTTCAGTTCATGTTGATGGGTCTAAATGCAATACATAGAATAAGTCTTAAGTGAGATACATATGTAACAGCATTCATATGTTAATATTAGGTAATTCAGTTAACTCTAAGACTGCAGAATTTTAAAACCAGGATTAGTTTCACAGGTCACCTGAATAAACAGAATTTGGTTGATTGTTTTAAAAAAATCTATTATTCCAGGGATGACAGACCGCAATGTGGCAACCTCCATTTTTTCTGACCTGCTACAATAAATCGCCTAAGTTTGCACACAATTTCTCAGTAATGTAGACTTCACTAATTGGATATTCAATAACCCAGCCTTTTCCAGATCACAAGGAAGAACACTTACAGAACAATTTCAGCAACGGTTCCAGTAAAGAAGTGAATCAGTACGCATATTTGTTACATAATGATTTATACTACTAGAACCTCAGTAGACAAATACCTGATTTTCAGTTCATTACGGATGTACATTTTCACGCTCCTACTTAGGATCACTTTAGTTTCACAAGTCCACAAAGGCTATTATCCTACTTAGATCTAGTTGGCACCTGTAATTTGGAATTTTTATTCAAGACCTGTGGTATTTCTACATGACTTATCTTGGATAGCTTTCTATACAACAACAAACTTGTTTATTCCATAGTTTTCTAGTACATCTTGGAGAAAAAACCTTATTATTATTTCCCAGTGAAAGTGATGATTGCAACAATTTCCAAAAGTGCTCATCCTTTCCAGTCAGTCACATAAAACCAACCTCTACTCCAGATTAAGTAGTGGGACTACGGATATCTTAGTTTCAGTTGCATTTACAGCAACAGCTACATTTCAATACAAGTATTATTTAAGAAAAAAGCATGAGCTATTTTCTAAAGCTCTGCTTATTTCCAACTCCTTTATCACAACACACCCAGGCTAACAGAGCATTGCCACGAGCATGTGCCAGCTAAAAGAAGCTGAGTGAACAAACCAACATGACTGCGAATGAAAGAGTTTTCTTAATACCATACAGATAAAATAAGCTATTATCAGAGGCCAAATGTACTTAAACATACTAACCTGACCAAAAAGTTCTTCGTCAACTATAAATCTGAGGTCCAGTTCTGTTGGATCATTTTCAAGAATCCATCTCAGAGAATTGTAATATTCACTATCCTAAGAGAGAGAATTACAAAATAGTAAATACAAAATAGAGTAGGCACCTTTTAAGCTACAAGAGGCTTCATTACAGCCCACTGAATGCTGCTACCTAGGATAATCCTGTATTGGATACAGAGACTCTGCAACTGTACAAAGCTACAAAGACCTTTAAAGATGTTTGAAACCTGAAGACTCAGCAATCTCAAGACTAAAAATCTTTCACGTAGAAAAACAGTGGTAAGATGTCACAGCATTAGCTGAAATATTTTGGACTCTGTCTCTCGTCCTTTATTTTTCCCTTTATTGCTAGGCATTACTACAAAGAGCCTTAGGAAATTAAAATTAAGATAAAACCAATCGCACCCTGAGCTGCATCAAAAGAAGTGTGGCCAGCAGATCGAGGGAGATGATTCTCCCCCCTACTCTGCTCTCGTGAGACCCCAACCTGGAGTACTGTGTTCAGCTCTAGGGTCCCCAGCATAAGAAAGACATGGACCTGCTCGAGCAGGTCCAGAAGAGGGCTAATGATGAAGGGCCTGGAGCACCTTCCCTGGGAGGACAGGCTGAGGGACTTGGGCTTGTTTAGCCTAGAGAAGAGAAGGCTCTGGGGACACCTTACAGCAGCAGCCTTCCGATACTTAAAGGGGGGCTACACGAAAGATGGGGAGTGACTCTTTACCAGGGAGTATGTAGCAATAGGATGAGGGGTAATGGTTTTAAACTGAAAGAGGGTAGATTTAGCTTAGATATTAGGAAGAAATTCTTTACTGTGAGGGGGGTGAGGCACTGGAACAGGTTGCCCAGAGAAGTTGTGTATGTCCCATCCCTAGAAGTGTTCAAGGCCAGGCTGGATGGGGCTTTGAGCAACCTGGTTTAGTGGAAGGTGTCCCTGCCCATGGCAGGTGGGGTTGGAACTGGGTGGAACAAACCACCAAACCAAATCAGGACACACCTATAAATCTATTACTCAAACAGGTAGGAACTATACTCTGCATTGTTATAGGAGAGCAAAAACAATAATAGATGAAAAGAGACTGAATAAAAATCACACTGCCCACAAGCACTCTAGAGGAGAACCATGATCAGGGAAACAAACAAGAAAATTGTAAGGACCAGGTTTTCCTCTGAAAATGTTACACTGTATCACTCATTAATATTATCAGTCTGAAAGTATAAGAATATGTTTCTTTTTAATAATCAAAAGATATAAACTAATTTAAAAAACAGGTTGAGACAGGGATCCCGAAGATTTTTATAATTTTAACAATCTTAGCATCTAAAAATATTTTTTAAAGTATCACAGAAAGTTTAGAGTCAAGTTTTCAATACAACTTAACTGACTTAAACCAGAGTCTAGGTCTCTCTGATTTTCATTGGAAGCTTTAATTCCTATACAACTTACAGAATTATAAAAGATGTAGCCTAAAACGTCCTTGAATTACACACTTCCAACCTTCATAATGTCATTAAAGATATATATAAAAAAATTTAATATGATATATGATAAAGCAAATTACGTACCACAGACTCCATATCGTGAAGTGTTATTGGTTTTTGGAGCATCATCTTGTAAAAAGGACGAATAAAAAAGGCTTTAAAGAAGAACAAATAAATTGAACAGTATGTAACAAAATTTAAAATAAATACAATATTAATCCAAATATCATACTACATAAAATAAATACTAACCATCCAAAAGTTTGCCATGGTAAACAGCCATTCCAGCTACACGACCTATAAACTTGAAGTAAGAGAGATGATCTTCATTGCAAAGTCCAGAGTTTGGATTGATCTGCAGAGTATAGTTATCTCTGAAGTTGAGGGAGGGAGCAGGGAAGAGAAAGAAAAACAAAATGTTGTACTATTGGAACAGTCCCACATTTGAACATTTGAAAAACATCACTGGTTAAATCATGTATTACTTTTCAGGAAGTTAAAAAATAATCATACTTGGATTAATGAATCACTAATCTAATATTAAACAATATTCAATAGAAGAGTCTATTAGCATAGCAGAAATAACAGTTTTGAAACACCACGAACTACCTTTGTAAGTTAGAGATATACCAAAGAGAAGGGCTTAACTCCTATTAATTTTAAAATAGTCAGAATAACATCCTCCACATTAATTGTTAAATACTGCCTCTTCTGTAAGTAGTAGATGGTTGTAAGTGTATGCTTGTCTATACAAAGACAACACGGCTTACATTAGACTGTTGATTAGGCTGCTGAAATAAGAAATACAGGTACTGTCTCTACATTATTCTTCTGTCAAACAAAGAACTAAGTGCAGAATATTGCAGTTATTAACAACTAAAACCTCCTATACAGCTGGGGGTGGGGTGGGGCGTAATTCCATTCTTAAAGGAGCTATGCGAAATACAATTGATCTGCTTTCCCTAACTAGACTTCCTGTCTTTCAGACCTGTATTACTTACGTAGCTGAATATTCGAACAATCCATAATAAGGATTAAACATTTCTTTAGAGAGCAGGAAGAACCACTCCCTGGCCACTCCTCCATAGTCTAAACCTTTTTCACCATCAAATTCAATCCAAAGTCTTGCTTTGAGGAAATCTGCTCTCTTTACAGCTATAATTCTTCTATAAGAATCTTCAAGGATTGTTGTGCGATGAATTTTCATTTCAAATCTATTTGGAATATCACTCTAAAAAAAAAAAAAAAAAGAATATAGAAACAGAATAGTAGAACAAAAGCAAGCAATCTTTAGCCTTGCAAATTATACAAATTCTGTAAATAGACGAAGAATGGCACACAAATCCTTTTCTTCAAAAATTTGGAAATATAACAAAATATGATTGACAAGAGGCTCTATTTACATACAATTCAACTAGCATGGAGAGTTTCAGATACTAAGCTCTATTTCATACCATGAAAAAAGGGTTAAAATAAGTTCTTACTAGTAACAGCATATGCTCAGTTTTCTGCATGCAGCAAGCCATGGAATCTTTTTTAATGTTGAAAACTCATCATAATTGTGATCAAAAAAAAAAGCTCAGAGTTTATAAATAAAATCATGTTTGGAACAATTTTACCTGACTTATTTCACCCTCTAGTTCAATATTCTAACTATAAGGCTAGGTGTCCTGTTCTCTTACTTAAGAGATACATGACAAACAAGTATTCCTGTGATATTAAAATGAAAATCAGTCCACTTAAAATTTGAAGTCACAGGAACAAATCACAAAGTTTGCATTTACGATCATATAGGAAAATATTTAAATAAAAATACGAGGTGCATATGTAATTGTGTGTAATTTACACATCAGCCCAAAATGCACAGGTTTCAGAAAGGTTAGAGGCAGAGACTTGGTAGATAAAAGGTGAAGTATGGGTCTAAACTCAAAGGCTATTGTTATATATAAAAATTATCTCCCAAGTATACCAATTTGATTGCAGTTGTGCAAAGACTCATTGTTATCTGGATATCCAGATGCTATTTACAGTCTTTTATGCTATGTGTTATAAATATATCTGGCACTGCCACTTCAAAGTAGAACTTGCAAATGAGTTTCATAAGATTTTAAGGCTGTAACAATTTATTACAGTCATCTAGCCTGATCAAGATGACAGTACAGATTTCTATCTGAATGGTCTAAAATTTATTCTGAGAACTTCTATTTCCATATTCTGAGTTCTAAAAACTATTATATGCTAGATCAGTATTTCCAAACTTTTCTGTTGCCAGCCTACTTCCAGGTTCACAACTGTTTTAACCTTTTAGAATTTCTACTTTTTCAATTAGATTGCTTGCAGTCTTATCACTGCATAGTCACAAATGTTACTGTTAGATTAAATGGTAATTGTTACCAAGTCGCTGCTTCACAAATGTATTTGTGATCAGACAGTAAATCTACCTTCCCTAAAGCAGGTTACAATGTTCAATTTCCTTTCACTGTAACCTAAGCTTTCCTTTCTTTAGGGGCATAAGTTTCTTAACCTTCTGCTGCATTCCTACTGATTACTAACCTGTTTCTTCAATTTCTTTCTGAAGAACTCATACTTCCGTTTATAGTCCCTGGAGTAAGGCACAGCCTTTGGAAAAAAAAAAAGAAAAAGTGCTTGCAATACTTTAACAATTAATGTAATATAAACTAGTCTGTATTTGTGAAACATAGACAATGCATTTAAGTTCTAAGAAAACAGGAATGCATATTTTACTAAACAGAGAAGACTTCCAATTTATAAATATATGGAGAGTTCAAAACATCTGGAATGAAAAGTACTTCTTTGTTCAGATCATTTGTTCTGATCAGTTCCATAGAATTTATCCTGTACTTTACTATTAGCTGATGTGACTGACTGAGCTCACTGACTGGCCCAGATCAAAGGGACCAAAATGCCTTTGGTGACTTACGTAACGCATAGTCTTTCCTTGCTGTATCATGACAGACCTGGCTACAAACACCTCTATTTTCCATGGACAGAGAAGGTTGTTTACATATGTGGGCTATTAATAAACGCAGATATCAGTTGAACACTAAAACCCATCTATAATTATAATGTGTACCGTCTTTGCAATTAGTCCTGGTAATTTTGCACTTCAGATTAAGTATCAAGGCTAGATAATTATTTTTCAGTTGGAAATTAATTTCATTCCTTTTAAAGCCATTTTCTTTTTTTTTTCCTGTTTTCTTTTTTTTTTTTTTTTTCAAGTTCACTTCATAAATTGAGATAGTTTTATTTTGGACACTGTGGATAAAAAAAATGAATCAAGTTTCTTACTCACTTCAAATCACCCTCCAGTATACAAGGAAACTTTCTTACTACTACAGAAACGGATTTGTCTTTCTGGCATTTAAAGACCATTTCCACAGAAAGCTTTCTAAACAGTCTTTAAAAAGAAATAAAGATGCCTTATTCAAACACTCTGGAATTTCATCTTCTAGACTAAGTACCTGATAAATGACAAGAGTTTGTTTGGATTCTATTAATGATATTCTTGAAGAACATGTAAAGCTACATAAGGAAAGCTTACTGGTCCAGTTATTGCCACATTCTGCAGTCGAGGATCCTCCCATTGTGTTTTCTTTGTATCTGCAAGATGTTTCTTAATTAGCTCCATTAATTTAGATAATGTTCAGAAATAAAATGATGGTGTGGGGAGAATACTACATTGTACATACTGTGGTTTATGAAGAATATTCTTCCATCTGTGTGAGTTCTCTCTTCCCACCCTGGCTGTAAGAAGGAAACACTTATTCAAAATAGAGTATATTTTGTATGAAAAAAGCAGGCTACGTTTTTGCATGTGCAAGTTTTGGTACTGCTAATGTAACTATTTAAATTGCCGTATCCACAAAACAAGTATAAAACAGGTTACTTACTGGTAACGGACCCAGGTCTACTGGATCTAGGGAAGTTTTTCTCCTCGGATGAGCAGAAGTTTTCAGTCTTGGATCTTCCTTTGAAAACAAACCAAGCAGCATGTTAAAATCCTCTTATTGTTTTGGTTTGCTTTTAATTTTTTCCTCTTTATTAATGATTGTGTAAAGAATATGCCTAGTATCAACTAGATAATTGTTGCATATTCTGTAGCCAGGTACTTCCTTGGGGATTCTCAGTCCTCCAGTAGTTTACAATCATCTTCTAATGACCTCTCACATACATATGTGTGTGTGTGTGTGTATGTATGTATGTGTGTATATATATGTATATGTATATGTGTGTATATATATGTATATGTGTATGTAGATATATATATATGTAGATATGTATTATATATACATAATATATATTTAAAATCCCTCAGTCACCTCTGTTTCAGCATAATTGAGTAACATTACTCTTTCTACATGGTTTCCTGCACACCTTGTGCTTTTTGGGTTTGATGGTTGGGGGGTTTTTGTTGTTTGGGTAGTTGGTTGGTTTGGTGCTTCTTGGAGGGTAGGGGGAAGGTGTTTGTGTTAAATGATGTCTCTCCATTATCCTCAAAAAATGAATATTGATTTTGTATCACTTTACTGTCAGGTGAAAGAAACAGAGAAATGCATTAATACTGACCTACTCTTTAAATGCTTAAGTCCATCTATTAGCACTGCCTAGTGGCGTGCAGTGCCACTCTGTGGAACTGTAGCTGTACAACTCCCTCATCCGTATTATAGCTGCACCTGGCCTGCTTTCTTACCGGCTGACAAATTCAAGGTAACGGATTTCATGTTGAGGTAAGTTTACAAAACTGATTCCTGTTAAAAGCACATACAGACTATCACAGTTTTTATAGTTATGACAGAACTGTCATTTAGGAGATGCTTTACATTTGCAAAACAGATTCCTGTATACATCAGTATTTTCCTCCTTCCAAGTACCAATACAGTTTGTAAAATTCATAATGTTCTACTCATAATAGGTATTTTTAAGCTTTTATTCCTCCACAGACATGACACAGCTATCTTGGCACTAAAGAAATCTACAGAAGCCTGCCGAAAGCAGCAAAGCTTTGACTTGAGAGGAACTACAATTTCAGTCCATGAGAGCAGTTTTTCATTACCCATGTTGTAGTTTTGGTATTGTGGTCAATAAAGAATGGTCTCCCACTGGGTGCATGTCGGACTTCCCAGCCTTTAGGGAGAAATCCTTGCTCCATTTCAGGCTGCTGATGAGAAGACTGTTGTGATGAATCACTTGATGTTGCTTGTGCTTGTCTTCCTGCAGAAATACCTTGCGCAGCTGACAACTGACCTGTTTCCACACCAATCTATGGTAAATGACACAAAAAAAAGAAAAAAAATCAAAGCCCTGTAAAGCAATGTATTTTTTTCTATTAACATATATCTTTGACCCATGAAAACAATTTTCATAAAGCAAGTGCCAGACAATACATAGATTTGTTTGGTCTAGTATCAACAACATTGACTAACAATCACTGATTATCTACCAGGGTTAGAAGAAGTCTTTCAGGCTTCTCAATCAGCCATCACTCTCCAGAGGGCTTTCTTGGTACATTAATAGCAGAGTGAGTTGCCATAAATATTACCATTCCTAACTCTCACTGCATTCTCTCACATATTTTACATAGTGCCTTACGAGTTTATGCCTTTCACATGTTCTATGTCAAGAGGTCTCTAAACTTTACTTCTGTGTTTAAAAGATTAAATGGTGACCTTTTAAATGTTAGAAGATATGTTTAAAAGGTTAATAAAAACATTAGTAATTAGAAGACAGACAGTACCTGTACAACCGGCTTTAACCAGGTAGTGGTTCTAGAATTGTGATCTATGTAATACGACCTCCCTTTTTCATCTTGTCGCTCTTCCCAGCCTGGGGGTAATCCAGATGAAGTAGGCAGTAACTAAGTATTAGCGATAACACAAGAAAAACAGTTAAGAAAACTATGAAACTGACTGTGAAAAGGCTTTCCCTCTGTCAAATTAGAACAAAACAAAACTATAATCCAGAAAGTTCATTATTTTCACAAACTGGATAAAATAGAAAGTAGTATTTGAGTCCTTACAAAATAGTATGAAGTGACAGATTTTTTTTTTTTTTTTTTTTTTTTTAATTTGAGCTCCTCATCTAAAAGGATTAATTTACATACCTGATTTAGGCATGGCTGATCCAGCCTAGTACTTCTGGCTATGAGCTCATAGTTTGCAGTGTCACCATGGAAACATAATGTCAGGATGGTGTTACAGCTTTTAAATATAAAGCAAACAATTTGAAAAACAAAACTCAACTTCAGAGGAAGACTTTCTTCCTTCTGCAGGCTCTAGCCACGCATTAAGCTAATGTTAAACCAAAACCACAAAGTTGGAACATGAAAGCTTTACAACCGAACTGCAATCTTGCTAGACTCATAATTGCAGTGTTGTCAGGACAGCAGCCAGAAGCAGAAGGCCAAATCTCATTTAAAATGTCAGCAGATAATACATAGTTAAAAAAAAAAGTTTCATATGAAGAAAATACTTCAGCATCTCTGCTACAAGAGCTTGTGTTTTTTTGAAAAATAACGTACCACTGGATGTGCAGGCTGCTCTTCAACTCTGTATGTTTGCAGACTACCTCTTCTGCTGGAATGGTTCTTGAAGCAGTGAAGAGGAATGACATTGTTAGCTATTATTGCAGCTTTAAGGATGGCAGCAAACAGTCAACAATAGTTATCACATTTTAAACTGTTACAGCTTTCATCTCGAACAAAGTGTCTTGAAATAATATTTTTGAACTACTGTTTTAACACTGCTAGAAACATTAATTTCACAGTGTACATTACAACCTTAAAACAGAATAATACAGAGGCTTGTGAAAGTTCTGAGAATCCTAACAGTAGATGTTTTGGAATGTAAAATATTAGAGTTAATTGCAACCAACTATACTACAACTGAATTTACAGTATAGAACTGACTGCGTTATATTGTCCGTAGACTAAAGCCTGTGATATATCAGAGCTAACACAACTTTTCGGAGAGTAGATTAAGTTAATAATGACAAGATATGAGAATCTGAGACCTCCAGTTTAAGAAGAGTAATTTGATCCCTGGACTTTGCGTAAGCATCCACCTTTCTGCCTAGAGCCATATTTAGATTTCATTTGGTACAATTAAACAACTGTATTTCATGTTGCTCCAGAATTTCCTTGATTATTTGAAGGATTTTTCCCTATCTATGTACCCTTATAGAATACTTCAAAGAAAAAGCATGATTAAGTTTTTAAATTTATTTTTGGGGGGATGATGGAGGTGGAGGGAGGCAAGACTGTCATTCTAGCTGACTCTTGAAATAATTGGAACCTCTGCCTCTTCCTCTGCTTAGCCCACCTAAGCAAGCTGAAATAACAGTTTTCTTGCTATCCATAGGATTCTAAATAGCAGCGATGGCAGCGTTAGGTTAAAGGGTGGACTCGATGATCTCAAAGGTCTTTTCCAACCAAAGTGATTCTATGATTCTAAGTAAAGTCTTGTTGCTCTCACTTTGCTGTTTCCAGTTACACTAGTGATGCCTTTGTATAAACTTAGAAAAATATAGTCAATTCTAAATTTATATCTGGAATGGCACTCTCAGCATCACAGAAGCTAATGATTTTATTTAAACATCAAAATCTTACAGACAACATGGTCTGGGTCACCTCTATAGGCTTTCCTCAATGGACATCGGATTTCTCAAGTCACGTATCAGGTTACAAGGCTCTTTGTGGAGCTGGGTTTCACAAGACAGCTGAGCTTATTTAATTGCTTGCTATCACCAAAAGACAAGTCTCACTCCTGGCTATGTACTCCTGCTGCTTTCCCTTTGTCACCACGGTATGTGTCAAGACAACCTAGCACGCTGTTCCAGCTTGCTAAAACTGCAAAAAAAACAGGAAACAGTTG